GGGAGGGGAGGAGGGGGGAGGGACAAGGGCGGAGTAGGAGGGAGGGGAAAGGGGCGGGGTGGGAGCGGGTCACGTGATTCGGCATGGAGGCGGTGGCGGCGGCCGGGAGGAGCTGCCGGGCCAGAAGCCGCACTTGTTAGTGTCGGGGGAGGAGGAGGGGACCGGGGGACGCCGACACCGTCACCCAGGGACGCCGAGAAGGCGAGAGGGGGGTGGGGGCGAGATCAGGCTCCGACCCCCGGCCGAGGGGATGAGGGGAGCATGGGCGCCAAGGAGTCACGGATTGGATTCCTCAGCTACGAGGAGGCGCTGAGGAGAGGTGAGGGGGGGAGGGGTTTGGGCGAGCTGCCGGGGAGGCCGGCGACAGGCTGTCCAGAGGGTGGGTGACCCGGGAAGGGGAGGGGAGGTTGCGAGCGTAGGGGCCCCTGAGGCGGAAGGGAAAGAGGCCAGCGGTGGGGGGATATGAGGGGGAGGGGGGCGGTGGTAGCAATGGAAAGCGGTGTTTGGAAATTGGGGTCGTTTGGAAGGGGGCGAAGCTTTCTCCGGTTGGAATGGTATCAGGCGCTGGGAGAGCAATGCTCGTGCTGTCCGGTGGCGTTGTTGTCCTGGATGTGTCCAGGGAAGTCTTCCCCGCCTTATCTTGGGTGGCTGCAGCCCTTCCAGCCCCCCCACCCCCATCGTTTACTGCCATTTTCTCCATATCACTCCTTCATGTAACCCCCCAATCACACGAACAGCCCTGGCTAGAAGGGAGAGAGGCGGCAGCTGCCAAGCTCTTTTCTCTGCTCGTAGAGGCCCCCTTTTTTTCTATTGGGAAGTCTGTCTTTGCCGAGGGCCTTTGCCATCCACTTCTGCCGCCCCGCAGCCTTTGAGCGACGGAGTTTGATCAGAACGATCTGAAATTAAGTTGTGTTTGAGGTGAGATGAGGCAGGACAGCTGGTGTTGCCACAAGACCTTGTCTTAGATTCCATCTTAGACGCTGGCCAAAGCCTTTTAATTGCACTTGATTCCCAGTTCTCGCCCCCGCCCCCCTATAAAATGGTATTCGAAAATCCAGCATTCTGATATTGTGTGGTCGCTCCCTTTGGAGACTGCCGTTGCTGCCAGCCCTGGCCTGCTGGTTATTGGCTCTGATGCACTGTCTGTTGCTAACAGCCCCAACCCCCTACCACTTACTCTGAAAGCGCTGTCCAAGATCGCTAAAGCACATGCTAACTGGAAGTGTCTATTGCACAGTTTATGGCCTGGATGTGTTCATCACTGGGATTTGAGTGTGTGTGTGTGCTTGCATTTGTTTTCGCTGTGTAGTGGGTTTTCTTGGTAAGACGTGAAGACAGCGAAGCAGAATAGGTGCTTGGCATTAACTGTTAACAGGTTTCAATCAAGAAAGCAGCCAAGCTCTTTAGGTGATGGGTTTGGATCTAAGGCTATCAAAATTAGATTGAAAGGCAGGCATTCAAAGTGACAGTGTTATAGGGAACTTTTGTGCATATGTAGGAAGAAGAGAGAATCTGTGGGTCAGCATCACTTGAAAATCAATGCAGAATTTAGATGGGTTGGTTTGGGACTTAATCAGAATAACAGAAATGTGCTTTTTATGTGTCATCCTCTCACCCCCACCCCCACCCCAGGAACACTACAGTGATTGTTCTTATGGATCAATCTTACTTGAGGGTTTTTTTCCCTGCCTCAATATGAGAAATAGTCCAAATTCTTGATGTGTTTCCAGCCCCAGTAGTCATTTCCAGGATGCTTTTCGAGCCTGACAGGTCTGGCCTCAATTAGGCAATGGCTTACATGGCATGAAAGAGAACATCAGTCAAACTGATGGACAGCTTCAAGGTTCCGAAGTGTTTACTTTCTGAAGTTGGAGATTGTGAACATCAGTGATGTAGCCGGCATTAAGGAATCCTAAAATTAAACCTTTGTCCAATTTTAGCCTGCTTAATGGACTAACAATGGATCGTACCTTTGTAAATCTGAGTGAAGTTAATTGTGCATTTTAGACAGATTTTGTTAAATTTGTTATGATGTGTCTGCCCACTGAATTTTAATGCACATGCATTTGGAAAGAGGAAAATGTTAAAACTTTATTTGTAATTATTGTTTGAGTGAATATATTTTGCCAGTTTTGCTGCAGAGGAAAATTAAAACAAAAGTGGGAACGGAGTTCATCAGTTAACATTTCTACCAGTAAACCAGGAATGATGTATTTTTTAAAATGTGGTACTTTTGTAAATGTCAAACTTTCATATAGAATTTCTTTCAATAAGGTTATAGAAGGAGTTTATAAAGCTTGATAAAGCTAACAATGAATAAGGTTTGAGAACTTTTAAAGGGATCTTTTTCTTTGGATCTTGAGTAATCTACATATTTACTAAACCATCCTCCATTATTCTCACTTGTTTGTTTATAGTGACTCAGGTGAATGATGGAAAAGAAAAGGCAAGATTTGAAAACACAGTCCTCTAATATGTGCTATGTGAATCATTGAACAAGCTTGAAAACTACTGAAATATTTCAGTATTGGTTTTTCTTAAAATTATTGAGCATTAAATAATGCCTACCCATAATTAGGTGGTTTTAAAAAAGTCAAGTATATATGACCATATACAAATGTGGAAATGTCTGCAGTTTATCTTGGAGAGTTGGGCCTGGGAATGAAGTGTTATGTTAATGACAGATAACATTTAATAGTGCTGAGTGAAAGGGCAGGATAGTGACTTCTCACTTACATTACAGAAGCTCCAGAACTCAGCAAGATTGGCTATGCATTCTATTTTAATACAATTATGTGATTCTCAATTCGTTGGCAGTGAGTTTGGAGGGGTTTTTGTGTGTGTGTATATGTGCCATTTACATAAAAATATTTTTGAAGTTTATCTTTAAAAAAATGAAGGAGATACATTAATGGTACCTTTTATTTTTCTTTCTTAAACATATTGAGTACAACACCAGTAAGCCTTCCCTAGAAAACTAGATTGCGTGTGTTTCCTAAGGAAGTTTAGCTACAGTTAGCTGTCAATTTTTCATCTCTTGTTTCTTATTGCATTTAAAGTTGTAGCTTGTGTATTTCTAAAATATACATCTTAAATCTTTGGAATATAGTTTGCCATTCAAAGAGCATTAAGTGAAAAATGAGTATTTCAGAATTCTAAGTAACCTTAAAAAGCTCTAGTTTTTAAATTCTTCGGTCTTCCCTTCCCTGTTTCTCTTTCTTTCCTTTCATTATTCTGGAAACTGAGACTGCCCTGTCCCCAAAGGATTGGCTGAATTAAAATTGTTCTTACCTTTAAATTGTTGTTATATAGTGGGTAGATTTCTTCTAGTCTCTTTAAGTAGACTTTGATACTTACATTCAACTAAATAGCTAAGTGATGAACTTAGCTGTGTGGGTTAATCTTTTTGAATGTTCATTCAGGAAGTTCTTAATGCATGTTGGCCGAGTTAGACTTGAAGAAAACAAAGATGATTAAGACTCTCACTAGCCTGAGTCAGTGTTCTCACTGAAGTGCAACAGCTCAGTGGGTATGGAAGACCATAGATGGGATGATGGAATATTATCTTTTGCTGCTGAGTGTATTCTGACTCATAGGAACCTTATAGGAAAGAGTTGAATTGTCCTATAGGGTTCCCAAGGGTGTAATCTTTTAGGGAAGCAGCCTGTCACATCTTTATCTTACAGAGCAGCTAGTACTTTTGAACTGCCAACCTTTTGCTTGGCATCTGAGCGCATAACCAGTGCTCCTCCAATAGACTATTAGAACTTCTATTTATAGTCCTGCTTAGGATATGTTTGATAATTTAATAATATATTAAAACAATATATATGCATATCATTTACCAATCATCCTGGTAGGGTAGTGGGTTATACATTCATTAGGCTGTTCCTAATTATGAGGTCAGCTGTTGGAATCTCACAGCTGTTCTGCAGGAGGAAGAGGAGGCATTATACTCATAAAGATTTATAGCCTGGGAAACCCACTGGGGCAGTTCTACTCTGTCTTACAGAGTTGCTGTGAGTCAGGATCAATTCGATGGCAGTGAGTTTATGTGCTAAGGAGCCCAGGTGGTGGTATGGTGGTAAACATTGGACTGCTAACTGCAAGGTTAAAGGTTCAAATCCACCAGCTACTCTGAGGGAAAATGATGAGGCTATTTGTTTCCTTAAAGATTTACAGCTTCAGAAACCTTAAATAGGGTTCTTATGAGTTGAAATTAACTTGAAAGCAGTGAGTATGGTTTTAGTTTTGAGTTTATATTTTGTCCTGTGATGCATAAAAGGAAGTGCTGTTGGCATGCAAAGTATGTGTGATGGAAAGTATTGTGGAAGAGGTGTCCTTTGAATTGGATTTGAAAGGTGAAGCAGGATTTAGGCAGAAAGAGTAGTGTGTACCAAGGCTTGAATGTGTGGGAAGTCAAAGATATATTTTAGAAAAAAATTGTATCTGGGAGCTGCTGCTGTAAGTAGGTGGGATGAATGAGTGGTGTTTGGGCAGAGTGGTAGGATTTGAAGGTAAATTGGTAGATTGGATCCCACATGTGAAAAGAATTGATGCCAAATTTTGGTGTTAGAACTTTATCAAATATGTAGAAAACCATTCATTGACAGTTTTAAGTGGAAAAATCACATGATTTCCTTTTTAGAATAACTCACTGAAGGTGGAATGAGAAAGGGAGTAACTGAAGGCAAGGAGTCCTGTCATTCTGATTTAGTTAATATTTGAATTTTTACTTCATGTCACAACATTTTAAGTCATTCCAATAGTCATTGAAGTTACAGAATAAGATACTGAGGCTTAGAGAAGTTAACTTAAAAAAACTAACCCTACTAGTTAATGTCAGTGTATACTATGTGATTTTTTTTACCACAGATATTATCTCTTGAACACTTTGAATTAATTTATTGAAATCTTGTTGATCTTAGGTGCCATTGAATTGATTTTCTAGTCATAATAACCTATGTAATAGAGTAGAACTGCCCTACATGGTTTCTGTAATTTTCACAGGTCAGTAGGTCTTTCTTTCACAGAGCAGCCTGTGGGCTTGAGCCACCATCTTTTGGTTAGCAGCTGAGCACTTAACCACTGTGTCACTAGGACTCCTTATAGGAATCTAATGGCTCTATAAATTTAATTTTCTAGTCTCTAGTAGGTTGCTGTGTCGGCTGGTGCATTAATTAAGATTGTAATAGTTGCAGATACAGTACTTTTTATTTTGCTTATCCACCAACTTTTTTTCTTCAGTTTTTTTTCCCATTAACTCTTAAGATGCTCTACTACCTTGACTCCCTAACCATGATTATTTTTATGTTCACC